AATTATTAAGGAATGTAATAAGCATTTGGTGTTGTATACCTATAAGGTATACCTTGCAGGTATTGTGAGCTAGTTTTAGAGAAATGTGGCAAAAGGTAGCGAATGTGTTTCTATGCAACTGTATGTGTGTACCTATGTGTCTGTGTATGTGTGCCAGTGTGTGTATATGTGAGTATATGTGCATACATCTCAGCATTTCACCTACACTACACACAAATACAACCCTGCATCCAAATGTCAACACTACATAAAAACACACCACCATATTCAAAAACGACGCTACAGAAAGATGCACACTTGCATTCAAATGCCAATACGTACAAACACACCCGTACATTCACTCACACATACTCTATACAAAAACATGCTTACATTCATACACACAAACACTGCTCTGTGCTAAATATATATTAAAAATACAAACACTACTCGGTGCTAAATACATAAAAAAAAAAAATGCTGGTGGTTTTTTTTTACATTTTTTAGCAGTAGGGGGTGCCAAATATTGTATGCCAAATGCCAAATGCTCCAGGTACGCCCCTGCTTCTAAATTAAGTATAACTTAACTAATAAAGGGGAAGTATGAGTAATAGAGGTAAAGGACAGGGCCTGTGAGAGACTATTATGTGCCATAGGTAAGACCAGCTACTTACGCCGGCCCCCCTAAGAAACAAAAATTGCCAAGTTTGTATGTCTTATTCTTCCCCAACTCCTTTGTGTTTCTATTTTTTCTCCTTCCTCAGCATTGTTTGTGTCTCTCCCACCCATCACCTTAGTGGGTTTCTTTCTTCGCTCAGCCCCTCTGTATGTCTATTCCTCCTTCCAGTCCTTCCAGTCTATTTTGTGTCTCTTTTCTCCTCCTAGCCCCTCTGTGTTTCTCTTTGTCCCCCAGCCCTCTGTGTTTCTCTTTGTCTACCAACCCCTTTGTGTGTCTTTTTTCCCTTCCCCAGCCCCTCTGGGTGTCTCTCCCCCCCTTTGTGGGTCTCTTTCTCTCTCCAGACCATTTGTGTGTCTCTCTTCTTCCTCCCAGGCCCTCTCTGTGTCTCTTTGTCTCCTCAGCTCTCTATGTGTCTATTTGCCCCTTCCAGACCCTCTGTGTGTCTATTTGTCCCCCCAGCCAGGCCCTGATTGGCCATTGGGCACACTGAGCAGATGTGCCGGCCTCGCTGTATTCCATGATACACCGGCCCACAGTCAGTTACATGCGGCTGCCGACTGGGGAGGGAGTAAGACAGGAGAGAACCTGGAAAAGTTCTATCATGGCAACGCTCTGGATCTCACGAGAGTGAACTCGAGACTGAGCCCTGCAGGCTATAGTTCACTCACCACTAGGACCACCAGTGATGGCAGCACGGTCCTCCCTCCCA